AGTTGCACGTGCACACCCTTGTTGTGTGAGAAACAGCTCTAACAGCACACTGGTGTGGCGGTTGGTAATCTGCAGAAGCACCAGGAAAGTGGTGCCACACAAATGTGCCTCGCAGCAGAATTCAATTTTTGAAGCAGCAGCACAGATGACAAGCAATCAAACTGTGTGATTGAGCTTGTACGAGATTTTATGACTGATTGTCACTGCAATTCTCAACATCAGGCCCAAGCACTGTGATGAGTTAGTGTCTAAACCATGTGAGGATCGTGTCGCAAAACACCACCTGCCAACGAAAAGGCCACGGGAGCCTCAGTTTTCTGTCTTTCGATGCGGCTCCTCCAACAGAGAGGATCAGATCTTTAATTTCAGATGAAATCTGTGATGTGAACCCTCATCTACTAACGACCTCAGAGGAGACAAGTTCTGCTTTGTATCTCCCTCAGGTTAATATGAAGAACTCATACAACTTGTAAAAGGGGCAGATATGAGTTATTTTTCTTCTGCTGCCATTAATTAAATTAAATTAAATTAAATTAAATTAAATTTTAGTTTAGTTTATTTTAGTTTACTTTGATTGCATGTTTTTTTTGTTCTTTGTTGTGTATACAATTGTTACAAATGAAATGAATAAATTTCTAAATAAATAAATAAACGTGTGGTTTACCATTACAGCCACAGGAGGTATTTGAACACATCGGTTATGTGAGGAAGCTGTAGCCTTGCACAAGTCAGTGAAAACATCGACAGCTGGTTTTAATAATCGTATATCTGAGGTTAGAAAAGTGACCAACTGCTAGTAAATGTTATGGAGCATTGAGTAAACTACAATAAAAATGATAATTTGCTCATTTTTGGAGTAATTTTCTTTCAAATCAGTTAGTACCTTAACAACTACCAGTCATAGAGCAGAGGGTATGACAAAAGAGGCAAAAGTCTTCATTCTAGCTAAATGAGATGCTGAATTAAGTAAAAATCTATGTCTTGAGCTCATAAAATGTGACACTGATTCTTTAACAAAGTGGCTCAACATTTATTTGTGTTCTCATATCTATCTGTACTTTAAAATAAAATACATGTAAATAAATATTTGTATATTCAGTTAAATACTGTGGTTTTACTGTATTACAGCATTAGGGAGATGAACGCTAATAACTGACCTTCTAAGTTTTTATTTCAACATATTGTTTGTGTTAAATATATAAAAACAAAAAATGTAAAGCTTGGCAGTAGGTGTGCACTTTGCATCTCCTAAAACACAAACATGGTCATTGGAAATACCCACCAGCTCCCCGTGACCCTGCACAGAACAAGTAGGTAAAGAAAAATGGATGGATAAATGGATAAACTCTTTTCTCTGCTTGTACGTACATTCTGCCTCCTGATGCATTAAGTCAGAGTTTTCTGATCAAAGCGACATTAATAGTTAACAATCTCTCTTTCTTGCTGCGTGTCAGTTCTGCCCTGTCTGAAGAGCCTTTGTGAATGTCTCAAAAGCTAAATCTGTCCCCGTAAAGAGAATTTTAATGACTGTCAGGAACTACCCATCACCTCTAATCTAAAAACACTGATTCTGAATCCAGAAGCGCTGAACAATTTCCATGCACGCACACCAAATTAGACCTTATCAGTTGATTAGACCAAGCAGGGACAACATTTGCCATTTGAAATTTACAGTCAGCGGAGCCAGTGATAATGAAAAGTATTAACAATGAGCCAAGGTTCACAGCAGCGGAAGAAAATCCATTGTAATTGTTGGCAGCCTGGGGTCGATGGTCCTTTGATGACTAAAATATGTGAGATCAGATCAAAGGTGACTGGAGTCTCTTTCTTGTTTTGACCCAGTGCTTTTGCAGAGGTTAGTGGGTTATTCATGAGTGGCCTGCAACCCGAGCAACAATATAAAAAGATCAAATAATTGCATCTGAGCCCATCGTAAACATGCAGACGTGTGCAAGTCCAAGCATCAAGAAAAGTAGCTCGAGCAAACTCTTGTCTTAAGTCTTCCCGCCTTTTTTTTTTTTACTCCGCGAGGGAAACAACACACAGCGAGGGGAAATGCGCTGTGACAACACACAAGTACACACAAGGCAACACATTCATCAAGAAGACATGGGCAGATTGTCAGTGACGCTCCAGAGCCTGGCAGGAAACCTCCCCATACCAGCAACAAGGGTGGGCAAAGCTGAAAGCCAGTCAGCCGTGTAGAAGCCCTTGGTCAATTATATAAGACAGTGATTCATGCACATACAAAAACACACATTCTCACACACATAACAACAGTTAACTGACAGCAGACATAAACTACAACGCTCAATGTTGCCTTGGAGCACAGAAGCGGTGAATGAAAGTCAAAAAGTACTTTTCTGCAGATTAGAAATGCCACCAAAGCTATTTTTCTAGTTAATACCTAAAAGGATCTATGGGCACTCGGGGAGTCGAGATTAACAGTGTGCGAAAAAATAGTAAAATCGAAGTGAATACAATTTTAGTTTTGGTTTGGCGGCATCCCATTTGTATGAAAATTCTCAGTTTACTGTCAAACTCCAAAAAAAAAAAAAAAAAAAAAGAATATGTGCTTTTGCTCTTTTCTCTTCCCTCGTTGCACAAGTCAAAGCTGAATGCAGTTTAAAGATAATATTTGAAGAAGATTAGAAAAGAGAAAGGGGTGACTGCCTGCCAGAGTGTGTCATTCAGGACATATTTTGGAAAAAAAAGCTTTTAAAAAAAGATTAATTGTGAGAATTTGGTCTTTTGGTATTTTAAATTGTTTCCCAACCTGAGCAACAGTCAGCGCAAATGTATAAACACAAACATTACACACAACCACCAAATTCAATTCAGTAAATTTCTTAAATCTCATTAAAGAACAAGAGAGGTGCTAATCTAATCCCAGTATAAGCACAAGGCAGCATTTTTTTTACCTTCTGCGAGGGTGTGTTGGTGCCGATGTGGTCCACGTTCTCCTCCTCCATCTCCCCCATCTTCAGACGACTCACCACCACGGTTCCCGCTGCACAGACACCATCAGACGTCCTAACAGAAGAGGAAACATGGGAGAAGAAACAGATACATTAGGTGTGCTTGATTCAGTGCATGTTTCCTTCTATGACAACAAATGGCCATTTGGAAAAAAAAATAAATCTCTTGAATTGAAAGGAGCAGTACAGGACATGGATGCAGTTGCTCCACTTAAAATCCTCTGATAGAAAAGTCTGCATGTACAATAAAGCTGAGCCTTTCTTCAGATGGAAGTTTATAAGGGGAAGGGAAAGAACATTTTGTCTTCCTGTTCAAATGGCGCTCTAACGACCTGGGTACGTGCCCCAACAGGGACAGGATTGATTCAAGACTTTTCGAATACTGTAAGTGAGCCCGACCAATCACTTTTCCAATCATGGAGCTGTGATTAAGGAGCTGATAGAAAATCTATAGTATTGGCAGCGAGACGGGGGCTTTAAAATCAAGAAAAATGGCTCCTCAACATGATGGGAGCAGGTCTGATCACTTTAAAAGACCCATCCCTAATGTGCTCAGTTCCACTCCAGCTGGAAAAAAAAAATATTGGATGCTGTGTGCCAGCCAAGCCAGCCAGTCTGAGGGGTGGAAGAGGGAGGGAGGGGGAGGGGGTAATGACACACCACTGCCTGAGGAGGAGTAAATGTAAGGACGGTGATGGGAGCAGAAAGGAAGCTTTCAGGACTAATCCATCTTGGTGAGATACAAGGAAGACAATTTTAAACACACACAGGAGAGGGAAAGGAAGCAGCATGAGTGAACGCAGGCGAGGAAGACTGAGGAGGGAATGGGGAGGAGAAAAAAAAGTGTCTCTGCAGCGGGACGCTTCAGTTAGCGCGAAATGTTTTACAGCAGTCTCTAGGCAGAGAAAATAACCCCGGCTGTTTTATAAAAAACCAATCATTGTCCCTCGCCAGACACCTGTCTCTGTGTTTACTCCTCAGCTCCTCTTCTTCATTTCTCCCATTCCTCATCACCAGCCCCTCCCTTTACCACCTTAACCACCCTCAAATGCACAACAGAGGACTGAGACGCAGAGATGGAAAGTCACCCTGACTTTGAACAAACAGTATGCACTGACAGGGGCCCACACATAATCAAGGAAATGGGGATTAACATGCATCACACTCACTGACAGTCCTCCCAAGGTAGACCATGGGGGTTACGGTGGCCCTCTCCTCCTTAGATTACTCTGCCACTATCCACTGATGAAACTCTGCCAGGCCTGAGACTTGGAAATTCTTCAGAATAACTGGCTCGCAATGTGTCTTTGAAAAGAAATAAACAAACTCTGCCTCAGCTCAAAAACAGCCTTTACAGTGGGTGGCAAAACTACTTGTCCCTTTTGGCATTTTTTCCATAGAAAAAGCACAAGAACTTGGCTTTATGAAAGAGTGGTCAGAAAAAATGTCATTCCTCAAAGTAGACATTTGCTTTTAAAACATTTTTTTACATTTACATTTGGGTCTACATCTGCAATGCTGTGGTCTGAATTCATTCTTAGGTGGATGTTTATAAGGAGAAGGGAAAGAACATTTTGTGTAACTCCACAAGCCCCTCTTTCACCCCTGTTCTGAGCTGCATCTGAGACCAACTCGTTTTGGTGCGATCTCTTAAATCAAGGAGCCACTTCACACCCCACCCTCCTTCAGGTTTCAGTTGCAGTGATTATTGTCCACTCCATCCCATTCAGCCATTTTAGTAGAGTGATAGCAGAGATGCAATAATCTAGAGGTGCAGAAACTTTTTACTTAAAACTTGATTAAAAGATATCAACAATGGAAGACTTGTCCATCCAGTCTTACATGTTGGAGCCGGAGTCTGACTCAGAGCCAGAGGATAAAAAAGATGACGAACCTGCAGAACCAGCAGATTCATGAAATTGGTGTGAAATTGTTTTGCAGCAAATACTATGACGTTATTGTTCAAAATATGGAATAAGGAATAAAGAAAACTGAGTGGTTGAAAGATATGAACCAAATAAAATATAAAGATGCGCAGCACCAGAAAACTAAATTAAAATTTTCAGCACTCCTAGAACACAACACAATGAAGCAACAATTCAGTGGCTCAAATGAAGAGCCCAACCAAATCTGCACCCCTAATGAATAATATTGGACATAATCTAACACATTTTTAACCACAATTATTTATTAAATGAGCCTTTTACACAGAATTTTAACACTGAATATTATGTACTCACACAAATTTTCAATGTTCTCTAAAACAATGTTTCCCCTTCATTTAACTTCATTCATTTAATATTTTTTGTATAAATATTACTT